GAAACTTTTGTGATTCTGCAACTGCTGAACATTTGCCTGAAGCCAGGTTTGTTCAGAAGAGTGAGATGAGGGCTGAGCATAATGTGCTATTTGAGTTTGTGAACAAATGCTTGCTGCCAAGGCAGGAGAGAAGGCACACTGCCAATTACATGGACTTGGTCCTCATGGAGTGCCTTGTGAGAGGAATACAGATAAACTGGCCTGTTTTTATTGTCAAACTACTGGATAGAGACATCAATGGCTCCAAAGCTCATGCCACACCATATGGGTTCCTATTGACTACTATTCTGGAAAGGCTAAATGTGCCTTTGAAGAAGTGGGAAATGGCATCAAGCAAGGAGCACTTTGGTGTCAAGACTCTTATGGCTTGCGACTATCCAGTGAATGCTACCCCAGTTGAACCTGGTTCCTCTCTGCAGACTCCTGTGAACAACAAGGTTAGGGCATTGGTTCAAGAATGTGGAACAAAAGATGTAGAAATTGCTAGGCTCCAGGCTCGTATTGCTGAACTAGAAAATGAGAGAAATGGCCTCAAAGCTGAGCTAGCAAAGGAAAAGGAAAAGAGTGAAGGGATGCTTCAGACCATGCTCAACCTTCTCCAATCCCAACCCTCTAGTTCCTCCAAGCCTTAGGTTTTCCAGTTCCTATCTTTGACCAGTCTAACCCCCAGTGACCCAGATTCGGGACTTTTCTTTATTTTTGTTGCTCATGGTTGGATGTTTTTCTTTCTTTTTGTGGTCTGCTTTGTAGAAACATTTCCTAATCAATGACAATGCACTTTGTCTCTTGGTCTATGTAGCTTCTGATCTTAATAGTTAAATTTTTGTCAAGTTGATTATTGATTAACTGAATCATGTTTTCACTTGCAGTTGCCCCAGTGGACATGAGTAATAATTAAAATCTGGGATTCACATTAGATGCAACTTTTCGATGATGCCAAAAGGGGGAAGAGATATTGTGGTTTACTTTGTATTCTGAAATAAAGTGATATTTATAACCTGATTAAACCTGGTCCTTAATGATAAGTTGGGTTGTCTAAGTTAAAGTGTTGATAATTAAGCTGAGTTCCACAGGTTCTCTGATCAGTAAAAGCACAGAGTTTGTCATCATCAAAAAGGGGGAATTTGTTGGCCCAAGTTCAGATGAAGTTTTGAAGATTGACAAAATAAACTCAGTCATGGACCAGGTCCATCATGTGATACACAGTGGTTATCTACCTATACGTGTTTGATGCACGTGAAGAAGATAAGTCTCAAGGATCAGCAACAATATCTTCTGAATTGATCGAAAAGGTTGCATAAAGGATAAGGAGATGAAGTCTCCTTATGTGAAGAGAACTAAATCCGGATCAATAATAAGGGTTGGAGTTTGTATTGTTCTAGGACTCGAATTCGATGAAGGATCAGCAATTGAGTCTTAATCAAACTCTGATTACTAACTCTTTAAATAACTATGATTGTTCTCTTTTACAGGTATTGCACATACGCAGAAGTTAAACTAAATTGAGAGCAAAAGAGCTAGGCAATTTTGCAAGCAATTTATGTGAGATTCAAGTGTGCATTCCTGAAGCTACTTGGACAAGATAGAAGAACCAATTCTTTTGTCTTTATTCTTATTCTAGTTCAATTGTAGTAGGTGGTTTAAAGTTGTACCTTTCTAGCTTTCATAGAAGCAATTGTATTAGGTACTTTGAGTATTCAAGTTAGAGTTAACTTGAAAGTGTCGTAGCAGTTGAGGCTGTGTGCCACACTGGGATTAGAGTTTAATCCTTAGGTTTACAAGAGTTTTATAAATGCTGTTTTGGCTCAGTGATTTTAGTGGAAGTTTGGGAAAATCCTACTGAGTAGTAGGTCGTGGTTTTTTCACCTTTTGAGCCAGGTGTTTTCCACGTAAAAATTTCTGTGTTCTTTATTTTATGCACTCTTAATTCCGCAAACAGTAATCGTAAGTACATCTAGAAGAACCAGGTTCTTCTAGTGCGAAAATTAGGTACCACACAAATCACCCCCCCCCCCCTCTTGTGTGGTATTGACGTGTAGAACATCACATGTGTGACATGATACTTACACATCAATTTTGGATTCTTTTGAGAAGGATCGGATTGTATTGGCCTGGGCCACCTGGTGTCTTTGATTCTTCCAATAGCTGACACGATCCCCGATGCATCTACACTGAAATTATACTCCGACAATCGAGGTGCTTCTGCAGGGTCGGTATGTTTATCAAAACCATTCTTACTCATAAGTCCCCGTGAACTTTGACCTCGATCATTTCTTCGATCGTTCTGATGAGCGCTACGCCCTGAACCGTTGTTTCTCCAATCGACATATGGCTGATACCGTTCCGTGTTTGATCTTGGTTCCCTATCTGTATCCCTCGGGGCCTTAACTGCCAATCTATCAGGATGAACTGAACCCGATAGAGCTCCCAACTGGTCATCCTCAACCCTGATCTTCGATTGGTAACGATTATGTACGTCTGACCAAGTTACAGCCGGGTACTCGATTAGATTTTGCTTCAATTGTCATGACGCGATCGAACTCCGCTCGTTCAAACCCTGCATAAAATCTTGTACTACCCAGTCATCCGAGACCGGTGGTAATTCCATTCGTTCCATTTGAAATCGGGATACAAACTCCCTTAGCATCTCATCGTTCCTCTGTCTTATCTTAAAAACGTTCGATTTCCTTTTCGCCACCTTTATGGCCCCGGCATATGCTTTCACGAAGGCGTGTGCTAACATAGCAAACGATTCGATAAAGTTCGAGGGCAAGTTGTAATACCAAATCATGGCTCCATTTGACAAAGTTTCCCCAAATATTTTCAACAATACTGATTCGATCTCATCATCATTCAAGTCGTTTCCTTTAATCCCGCAAGTGTATGAGGTAATATGTTCATTAGGATCGGTTGTCCTGTTGTATTTAGGTATATCGGGCATGCAAAACTTTTTAGGAATGGGCTTCGGAGCCGCACTTGGAGGGAATGGCTTTTGTATGAACTTTTTGGCATCCAAACCTTTCAAGACCGAGGGTGCCCCGGTATTTGATCAACACGGGAGTTATAAGTCTCCACTTTTTTGTCATTATCCTCAATCTTCTTCTCCCCGGACTCGATTCTCTTGGTGAGTTCCTCGAGCATCCTCATAATTATGGGATCAATCCCCGAACTATTACCGTTTGATCTTTCCGGTATCGGCTCAATACGTCGAGTGTTTTCTGGTTCGACTACACTTGGAGTTTTGTGCTGACTTTGAAGCTCAACGATAGCAACTTGCTGAGCTTGTAGCATCTCGAATATTACTTGGAGGCTGACTCCCCCATCTCCTATATCATGTGTTCCTTGGCCACCAGATCGGGCTTCCCTGCGTACACTCCCTCCGGGGTCTGCGCCTAAATTCGCATTCAAAGCAATGTGCGAACTAACATCAACCGGTTCCACATTTGGCACTTCCCCAGGGTTAATGGGTGGTAGTCCGACCCATACATTGTTGTTTTCCCCATGAAATCCAAGACCCTCATCGTCGTGTACGGGTGAGTTTTGCGAGTTTGACATGTTTTAACCTGAGAACAAAAATTCTTGACAAGAACAAGGGTGAAAATAACGTGTGTTATCAGAATCAATATTGAAATAATCACTATTATCTTTAGCCCCACGGCGGGCGCCAAACTGTTTACCTCGAAAATACGAGTAATAATTAAACTTGATTTATGGTTTTAAAGATATGTGATTTAGTTCAATACTAATTAATAACCAAGAAATCTAACGTGTAAATGAAAGAAATAAGTAAAATCAAACCAGTGTGCAAGCCAGTCTCGACCTCGAGCTAAGGTGGCCTCGAGATAGGTCAAGAACAACAAAGTAAGAATAATAAAGTTAAAGGACAATTCTGGTGAGCAATAAGCAAGAAAGTAAGAGAGTATATTCTTTTGCCAATGATTGATGATGGTTACAAAATGATTGGGGTCCCCTTTATATAACAAGGGAACCCTAAATAAGGTACATTTCTATTTACAGTAAAGAATCTTATTGGGACAGCTGTCTAACCGCCTAGTACGGATTTATACAAATCTATTACGGAATTTACGCCATGATCTTGGGTGTGGCAGGAATCTTGCTCATTCTGTTACAAACTTATAACGGCATTATCTCGGGGTTGATCACACTGGGCCCCGATGTTCCTCGAACACTTAAATCTTCGAGCCTCGTGTTCTGCCTCCGGGCTCGAACTCGGTCCATAGTAAGTCTATTCCTCGACGCGAACCTTCTATTCCTTGTTGTGAGCCTTCGGGCCCACAAAATCGGGGCACATAATTTTACCGTATACAATAGTCATTTCGATTTAGATTATAATTCATATAATTATACCATTCTTGTTATCATCACAGCTTCTTTAACTCGTGATATCATCTTACAATGCTGAAAATACATTTTATACAAAGTTTACAGAAGATTACGACAGACTCATTGGAGACTTTTGGAAATATATTTCAAATACTAATATTTCTTTTGGTTTCCCATTCAATATCTGGTATCCATATTGGGGTCGATTAAGCGTTTTCTAGCAAAGACGATTCCATACCCAAGGCTCAAATCCGAGGTCTCTGGTTAAGGGTGAAGGAGTCATTACCACTCCACCACAACCGTGGTTGGTTGTTTCGAATATAATTAAATAGGTCTAAAGTTATGGAATACAACATTTATATCAGAAGGAAAAAAAAAAAAAAAACAAGTATGAATATTAACTCGCATCAAGGGGTAAAGAAGACATTACAGAAAAATTCCCTATTTCTATGAATTCCGAAACATCCAGAATTAAGTGAATCCTTATTTTTAACTAATCATAAATATTTTGAAGCCACTAATTTTCCACCAAATGTTGCTCTTCTTATGGAGCAAACAATACACTCAAATTTAAAGAAATCAAGATTCAGCACATGGCTTCAAATGCCAAAACTTCGCAACCATTTTATGAAGTTTTGCACGCTAGAGGTTACAAGTTTAACAAATCTCAACCAACCATTAATTTCTTCTTGATCTAGTTTTATCAGGAAAAGCATCAAATCTCAGCTTTCAATCTCTTTCACTACTGAAAAACACTACTTAGTTGTTATTTTCTTTAATAATTAAAGATGAGATTAAGGCTTGAATATAGTTTGGTATTCTAGCTGGAAATTGAAGAAACATAGCTAAAGTGCTGTAAATTTCCATGCGGATTTCAACTTTTGGAATGATTGAAAGGCAACGCAGGACTTCTTGGATTAAAAACACTATTGGATTCTTTCTTATTCTTATATCTATTACTGTTATAGCACTAACAATTGAATGGAACGACGTTGTAAGTAACTGCTTGCTCTGTTTGTTTGGGACTAAGGCGTAGTAGTTGTTATTGTTATTCTTGTTGTTGTCATAATCTGACGCTGGAATTTGACATTCCAGTCATTTGTACTTTCTGAACAATTTACACATGATTCAGTTTAACGTGACAAAAAATAGTTTTCTGACTTTACTGTTGTAGTTTATAAAATTTAGTGATCATATGCGAAATTAATATTTTTCTCATGTATAGCGACATTTTTCTTTTTTTAGTCTGTCCATACAGATTCATTGCAGAAGAATAAAGTTGATCTTTTCCCTGAAGTTTCTTGCTCAATTAAGTGTCCGCGAACTTCACCAAACAAGCCTAAATTCAGTTCATCATCCGAGTCCTGCCCTGAATACTTTCGATGGATTCATAAAGATTTAAGGCCATGGAAGGACACAGGGATAACGCGAAAAATGGTAGAAAGAGCACGAGAAGTAGCCCATTTTAGAATAGTTATTGTAAATGGAAGAGTGTATTTTGAGAAGTATAAACCAACTTTCCAAAAAAGGGACATGGTTACATTGTGGGGGATATTGCAACTTCTTAGTTTTTACCCTGGCATGCTACCGGATTTAGATATTGTTTTCGAGTGTGGTGATCAACCAGTAACACAAAAAAGTGATTATGGAAAATCAAAGGATTCAATTCCACCACCATTGTTTCATTACTGTGGAAATGACTCGAGTTTTGACATTGTTTTCCCTGATTGGTCCTTTTGGGGTTGGTAAACATTCTTATCTTTTCAAGTTCAAGCCAAAGTTAAGTTGAAATATCAGTAGCATTTTTTGTGGTGTATATTAGAAATGGTTCTTTATTTTGGTACTACTGCAGGCCAGAACTCAACATAAAGCCATGGGATATACTGAAAAAAGATTTGCAGCAAAGCAATGAGATGATTAAGTGGACAGAAAGGGAGCCTTATGCTTATTGGAAAGGAAATGCATTATTAAGCCAATCAAGACGTGACCTTTTGAAGTGCAATGTCTCTAAGAATCAGGACTGGAATGCTCGAATTTATGACATGGTAAGTGGTCAACCTGTGCCTCAGTTTTTGAGAGTTTGGTGCTTTGGAATCCCTTAATAGATGCAAAGTTTAGGTTCACTATGAAGGGTCACTCAATGCACTAAGCTCCTGCTATGCACGGGGTCTCGAGAAGGGCCAGAACACACTGTGTCTATTGTAAGCCGTTTTAGCTTGCATTTCTACAAGAGATTGTTTCCACGGCTTAAAACTATGATTTTCTTGGTCTCATGGCAACAACTTTTATAGTTGTACCAAGGCTCCCCTTTACGAAGCTGAAAATTTAAACATTATATCATGATCTGCAATTTTTGATAAGCTGATATGAGTCCTTTTCAGCAATGGGTGCGTGAACGAAGACAAGGCTATAAAACTTCAGATTTAGCTACACAGTGCACTCATAGGTAAGCAGTCCATGCAGTACCTTCAAACTAGACCTTTTTCTCTGAATCTTTCATATCTTCTTAGCCTCTTTATTGTTCTAACTCATTTATGTTGGACATATTTTTTTCTTGGAATTGGCATGAAAAGATACAAGATTTATGTTGAAGGGCTTGCATGGTCAGTGAGTCAAAAGTACATTCTAGCCTGTGATTCTGTGGCTCTCCTCATAAATCCCCACTACTATGATTTCTTCACAAGGAGTTTGCTGCCAACAGTTCATTACTGGCCAATAAATGAGAACGACAAATGCAAATCCATCAAGTTTGCAGTAGACTGGGGCAATAAGAATGCAGAAAAGGTAACATTCTATGTATGTGACAACGCTAATTAATCTTCTGTCACATTAATCGTTTTATGAATTTAATGTTCGAGCACAAAGACTCTCAACAGGCACTAGAAATTGGAAAATCAGGGAGCAGATTTGTACATGAGGAGCTACAGATGAAATACATTTATGACTACATGTTTCATCTCTTGTCCGAATATGCCAAGCTTTTGAAGTATCGACCCACTATGCCTAGAGAAGCAGTTGAAGTATGTTCAGACACATTGATTTGCTCGACGAAAGGAATAAGAAAGAAGTTTAGGGTACATTCCAGGGTTAATAATGCTTCATCTTCAAAACCATGTAGCATGGCCCCTCCCTGGAGCCCCGCGGATCTCCAAAATTTTCTCGAGAGAAAAGAGAATCTAACAAAGCAAGTTGAACAGTGGGAAGAAACTCAAAGTGTTTGAAACTTTCCACATCAGGGACATAGTAATTGCCTAAGCTATCTTTCTTTAAATTTTGCCTAAATTCAGAAGTGAGAAAAGAAGCCATTTCTGAATCACTGTATATCAGTTTTCCTCAAGATATATATGGCAGAATATTATTGTTCTTTATTATGTCAATCTATGTTGAAAAATGCTCATTTGTTCCATGCATATTGTGCAATCAACTTTAATTGACTCGAAGTATTAAGCTAAAAATTGGATTACATTTCCATAACGAAGTATCTCGAACTATACATGAAGTATCCCCTAGTTCGATAGGAAAGTGCAAACTCTGAAGAAACAGATATGCTAGCATTCGAAAGAAACATCCCTTAGTGCACTTTATAAATTTTTGAATTTTTCCCTCCTAATCCGAGATTTAAAGATTAAGTGGAGCGAAGAAAAGTTCCAGTGAACTCAATAATCAAGATTCCTTTGGTTATCTCCTTGAACTAACAAGCTAGCTTTCATTTCTATATAACAATTATCGATTTGCTTCTCGATATGTCTATAAATGCTCTATCTCCTTGTGCAATACAGAGCAGATAAAATGTGTCGGAGTGGAAATTTCAAAATGGTAGAAACTAATCACATTCTTTACATAATCAAAGAAGAAACCTCTTATGATTAGGATTAAACCTACATAACCTGAACATAGTTTAGTGAGATTAGTGAAATCCTGGATTTAACACTATTTTCTTGAAAATGTAAAAGGACTTTTGATCTTCTAACTGTGGAAACTTGATATCTTTTAAAACAGGATCAATGTGAAAAAAGGGGGTTCATTTGCTTAATAATCTAACGGAAATCCTGTTCTGAGTTTCATTTTCAAGACTTAATTACAAAAAGATGAACAGAAAAAAGGAAAGACAACAACAGGAAATATAATTAGAATTTAGGATCTCATCACATTGTCACACATGATCATGTTTATAGTATACAAAACAAAAATCTTAAAAGACAAATAAACTGAACGTCTTAGACAAGAAGTATAAATGAACACAAAATTCCATTAGGAAGGGCCTTTAACATATGCTTTTACTAGTGACTGAATAAAAAGGCCTGACAATATATGTAGAGGGGAAATTAAAGACAAATTTCGATCAGCGAGCTCTGCCAACGAAGGTATCCAAGCTCATTTCACTTGGATCAGTAGCTTGCAACTCAACTTGGACACCATCAAATTCTCTCCTGAATCTATCTTTGGAACTTGCATACAGCATCTTACTTCTTACTCTTGCTGTTTCTGGTGACCTACATCCCACAGCAGTTTTATCAACTCACATGAATAATGGCTCAACAATATCTTTCATAGAAGCTTTTAGCCCCATCTAAATGTAATCGACCACCATAAACCTGTGTTGCTCAGATCCTCCAAAAATGCCGTCAGGTGTATGTCAGATCCTCCAAAAGTTATGCATTATTAGAGAATCCGACACCGGTGCGGCTGCATTTTTGGAGGATCCGAGCAACATAATCATAAACAACAACCAGTAAAAAGATTCGTGGAATGCAACATTCTATGTTAGCATGCATACCTATGAAGAAGTTAGATTCGTATAATGCAACACTCTATGTGAAATTACATGCATGCCTTGAACACTGTTCCTAAGATGAATTGAAAATCTGAGATTCATTGAAGGATGATACGCACAAACTTGAAAATAGGCCATCAATTAATGTCCAAAGTATTACTTTTTTGGCTGGTGAATGTTATTAGAGTTCAACGTAAACTTAAATTTGGTTAGCGCTTTGCAAATCATACGGAAAAAGAAAGATAAAAAAAATTCAAACTTAAAACAACATTAAAGCCTAAAGCGGTATAGTTCACATCTACTTAGCTTCAAAAAGCTGCTGTTAGAAATCGAATTGTGCAAATCTCCATGATATATAGGATGGCCAACTTGAGGCCCATTTTGTTATCATCCCACGAAAGAACTTCTCAGTCTGTAACTTACTAAGACCGGAAAACAAGGAACTCTCCATACAAAACGAGGAAAATTAAAGATTTTTACGTTATCAGGTTAAGTTGACCTACAACAACAAGTAACTAGATATTCATATATATAACCTACTATAACATGTTGAGTCGCACTGATAGCGTAAAAATTCTTTATATTGCGAGTGTACGTACCAAGCAACAAAGAAGATCTTGCTTTTCTGGACATTTTCATCAGTAGTGAAATCATAGTCAAAAACAGCATAGCGGCATTCATTGGAAGGCAAGCTGTTGGCAAAATCTTCATGAGTCTCTCCTTGTTCCCCAACCTTCTCAACAACAACTTGCTGACCATCAATCTTGAACACTATGTATCTGTAGTTCCTTTTTGCTTTCAGCTCCATGAATTTCAGCTTGCACTCATCACTCACTGCTATCCCTGATGCCGAATTCGCCTATTTTCAAATTAAAAAATAGATCACACAGTTACATAGCGAGTTGGTAAATACTCTTTTATCTCTAACCAGAGGTCTCGAGTTCGAGTCTGGAATAGAGTCACATTAGCGTTTGGGACTTCCCAGCACAAACCCAAATTAAAATTAGTCAAGCCCTAAATCGTTACAAGACATCCGGTGGGAAATCCAAAAAAAATTAAGAAAACCCGTAATTTAAAGACAAATACAAGGCATAACCTTTTTTCTTAAGATATTAGTTTATATCTTCCAAAGAATTTTTACACGCTAAATGTAACAGGACCTGGAGCAGCTAACCTCCTCTACTTTTCTGATTATCCACCTATTTTCAGGTAAATAGTTACCCATATGTACCTTATAGATAATAATTTGATTATGTGAGGGAATGAGCTTCAATTATAGTAAGAGGAATATGAACAAATAATTTATATTCTCCTTTCAAGAAATTTTAATGCTAATTAGTCTTATCCGTCTTTTATTTTATTCTTATTTTTTTGGGTGAAATATCGTCTCAGCGGATGAAAATGAGAATATTTTTTTTCGTCAGAGACATTTGCCTTTTATTTGTATGTTCAAAATGCCCGTGCATGATGAGAAAATACAGAAAACTGGGGAAAAGAAGAACAAGATATATCTCTACAAGAGAGAAGTAATTTTTGTTTATATCGAAAGGAAAACAAAGCAACAAAAGAAAACTAGCTAGAAATCAAGTCAGGGAATGAAGCTCAATAACAATCCCCCAACAAGAAAAGCACAAACGCATGCCATTTAAAACGAGACTCTTGACTAAAGGCGAATAAAGAAGTAGTTAAATGCATGCAACATACCATTTGGATAAGTGGCGAACAATGGAATTAGCTTCTGCAAACAATGAAAAGGAAGCAAACTTAGGAAAAAGCAAGACAAGAAAAGAGGGCAAAAGTGTGTGTTGTAGAAATATTCAAAGGGCTGAGAGCTCTTGTAGCGCTGTTTTTGGACAAAAACACAAGTGTTTGTTACTTGTTATATATCTCGTTCGTCATTCACCCTATAATCTTGGATCGTAAAATGTCCTAGAATTATTTTGTTAACCAACAAAGGATATATAGTACAAGTTTTTAAATTGGGTATATCATCTCATGATGAAGAGTCGCATGAAGCACTTTAGTGGTTAAAACTTAAAAGTTGTGTCACAATCGGGGCTAAAAATTGCACGGGGCGCCCCTTTTTAACCTCTAGCTGCTTTGTCTTTTTGTTTGCACCCATACCCACTTTTTTGTTAAAAGCCATTTGAAAAGACTATTTTACCCTTTTTTGTTAAAAGACTACTTTCTCTCCAAGTATACGCTAGTGCTCTACTGTTTCTCTCTCCCGTTATTCGCGTTTTTCGATTTGCTCTTCTCAGAAATCAAACGGTTTTCGTCGTTCTTTCGAATTTTCAACTGCTAGTCGTCGTTGTTCCCATATTACGATTTAATCACAGGTACATTGCATTAACTTTCTGTGTTTTGTTTTATAATTTAATTTCTGGTTTTGGATTTTGATATTCATGTATTTATGATAGGGTTTAGTTTGATAGGTTGTTCATGTTGTTAATGTAATTTCTATAAATTCTTCTGTGATTCGACGTTCAAATTTTTAAAAATTTTCAGAGTTAAACAGATGATAATGATACTTTAGGATAGGAGCTGAAGTTTTTTTCATGTTTTGGCATTATTTTTGGATTTGAATTTGTGTTTTGTTTTTTTGGCTGAATGTTTTGTGCTTGCTGAAGTTTTTAGTGCAATATGATTTTTTAATTTAACCAGTGTAGGAGGAAAACTTCAGGCTCCTTCTGAAGTTTTTAAGTAATAAATAAAAAACTTCAGCTGTTAGGCCGAAGTTTTTTTAGTGCAATATCATTTTTTTAAATTTAGCCAGTGTATGTGGAAAACTTCAGCCTCTTGCTGAAGTTTTTGAGTAATAACAAAAAAACTTCAGCTGCTTGGCAGAAGTTTTTTTAGTGCAATATCATATTTTTAATTTAGCCAGTGTATGCGGAAAACTTCAGCCTCCTGCTGAAGTTTTTGAGTAATAACAAAAAAACTTCAGCTGCTTGGCCGAAGTTTTTTTAGTGCAATATCATTTTTTAATTTAACCAGTGTAGGAGGAAAACTTCAGGCTCCTTCTGAGTTTTTAAGTAATAAATAAAAAACTTCAGCTATTAGGCCGAAGTTTTTTTAGTGCAATATGATTTTTTTTATTTGTATATGGAAAACTTCAGCCTCCTGCTGAAGTTTTTGAGTAATAACAAAAAAACTTCAGCTGCTTGGACGAAGTTTTTTTAGTGCAGTATCATTTTTTAATTTAGCCAGGCTCCTTCTGAAGTTTTTAAGTAATAAATTAAAACCTTCAGCTGAAGTTTTTGTTTTATACCTGTCGAACTTAAGCCTTCTTAGGTGTTGAAGTTTTAAATGATCTTTTTGATAATGTCTTGATGTTATTATTTGTATCTTTTACTTTTTTTTGACAGATGGCTCCTAAAGCACCTAAAGATCCTAAAGTAGCTAAAGAAGGCAAAGCACCTAAAAAACCTAGACTACCTGTAGTAGTCCCAAGTCCTTATGTCCCTCAGCCTCTACCTACAAAACCAGGACAAAGATATTTTGAGTTTACAGAATGGTTTAACTCTAAGGGTTACTGGAAGGGGAACCATGATTTGAAGAGTTTAATTGCATCTTTCTTGACTCCTGCACAACAGGCTAAGCTTAGTAATGGTCCATTTAAACACATTATTGCTATGGAGAATATCAAATGTAGCATGAAGTTGGTTCATTGTCTGTGTCTTTCTCGAATATTCACGAATGATCGAGACTCTATTAGTTTCAAGATATTTGGGGATGATGTTTCCTTCACCCTTGAAGACTTTCACATTATGTGTGGTTTGCCGATAACAGCATATAATATTGAAAAACCATTTAATCGAAAGAGCACTGTTCTAAACCGGTATTTTGGTAAGTCCAAGGGTGTGTATCTGAAGGATATTCAAGGTTTTATGACTCGTTATGCAATTCCAAAGAATGCTGTGAATTATCCACACGTATGCGAGAATGATGAAGATGCAGTTACGCTTGTGGAAATTCTTATTTTAGAGTCTATTCTGTTTGGGAAAAATAACGATTCATGTGTGAATGAGGAGTATGCATCTATCATTGAGGACAAGAAGGCTCGTGTTGAATATCCCTGGGGTAATGTAGCTTATGAGAAGCTCATTCATTCATTGAAACATGTATTGGACAAACAGAACAAACATCATGCAACTGAGTATAAACTTACTGGATTTTAGTTCACTTTTGTGTCATTTACCAACTACTAGCATTTACTATTTTTTTTTATTGCATTTACCAACTACTAGCATTTACCACTTACATCTTTTGCCAAGTGCTTATGTTCTTACATTCAATTTTTCTGAACAAAAAACAGGTAACGATCTCTTCAGCATTTATAGATATTAAATTGAGTAGGTGTATTCTTTGGCTATATTAACAATCTCTTCACTTGAAAATTTCATAGTCATCCATAGACTTCTATCAGATTTCTTTAAATTTGTATTCAAAGAAAAACAAGAAAATGTTGGCTAAGACATGCTTATTGGGTTTAGCAGGGAGTTCGTGTGAAGCAAAGATAGTGAAGGAGAAGTTGAAATACTTCATTGTGAAGGGGGATTGCCAGATCAAATACTCGAGCACCAGGAAAATTTGCTCTTTTAGGAAAATGAGCAAATTTCCTGCCTGCTCAGTTTTTGATGTGGCCAGTCCTCCGTCATAATAAAGTACTTTGGACTTCTCCTTCACTATCTTTGCTTCCCACGAATTCCCAGATGCACACCCAGTAAGCATGTCTTGGCCAACATTTTCTTGGTTTTTTTCTTATGAAAGTAGATGGTAGTTGCTAAAAAACCAAGAAAACTCTTTGGTGGAAGACATAGTGGAAGTTCATGTAATGTGGTGAAGAAATCAAGAAGAGCAACTATGAACATTACTATGGAGAATATGAAGACACTTTGTGAACTTTTTGAATAGAGAATAACTTGTAATCAAAGAACTAAGTTTTTCTTTTTTTCCAAGGATGTAAGTGAAAAGAAAATTATATTTTGTGAATATACATTATTTTGTGTGAATTATGTGACTTTGATTGATTCAAATATGTTTATGTCTTTTTTCATGAATGTCAAAGTATTTTTTGCTTAAGTTTGAAATATACTAAGAAACTTAAGCACATTAGGCCAAAGTTTTTCCAAAAAACAATAGAAAATTATTGAATAAAATAGAAAAACTTCAGCTGCCAAGTGCTGAAGTTTTTGAAAATATACTAAAAAACTTCAGCACATTGGGCCGAAGTTTTTTTCCAAAAAGCTTTAGGACAAAAACTATTGAATCCAACAAAAAACTTCAGCTGCCAAGTGTACTGAAGTTTTTTGAAAATATACTAAAAAACTGGCAGCACATTGGGCCGAAATTTTTCGAAAAAGCTTTAGGAAAAATACTATTGAATCCAACAAAAAACTTCAGCTGCCAGTGCTGAAGTTTTTGAAATATACTAAAAACTTTCAGCACATTGGGCCGAAGTTTTCGAAAAAACTTTAGGACAAATCTATTGAATCCAACAAAAAACTTACAGCTGCCAAGTGCTGATGTTTTTGAAAATATACTAAAAAACTTCAGCCTATTGGCCGAAGTTTTCGAAAAACCTTAAGGACCAAAAACTATTGAATCCAACAAAAAAACTTCAGCTGCCAAGTGCTGAAGTTTTTGAAATATACTAAAAAACTTCAGCCTATTGGGCCGAAGTTTTTCGAAAAACCTTTTAGGACAAAAACTATTGAATCCAACAAAAACTTCAGCTGCCAGTGCTTGAAGTTTTTGAAAATATACTAAAAAACTTCAGCCTATTGGGCCGAAGTTTTTCGAAAAACCTTTAGGACAAAAACTATTGAATCCAACAAAAAACTTCAGCTGCAAGTGCTGAAGTTTTGAAAATATACTAAAAAACTTCAGCACATTGGGCCGAAGTGTTTCGAAAAACCTTTAGGACAAAAATTATTGAATCCAACAAAAACTTCAGCTGCCAAGTGCTGAAGTTTTTGAAAATATACTAAAAACTTCAGCTGCCAAGTGCTGAAGTTTTTGAAAATATAACTAAAAACTTCAGCACATTGGGCCGAAGTTTTTTCGAAAAACCTTTAGGACAAAAACTATTGAATCCAACAAAAAACTTCAGCTGCCAAGTGCTGAAGTTTTTGAAAATATACTAAAAACTTCAGCAGCCTTGGCCGAAGTTTTTCGAAAAACCTTTAGGAAAAAACCTATTGAATCAAAAAAAACTTCAGCTGCCAAGGCTGAAGTTTTTGAAAATATAACTAAAAAACTTCAGCACATTGGCCGAAGTTTTTCGAAAAACCTGAAGGACAAAACTATTGAATCCAACAAAAAACTTCAGTGCAAAGTGCTGAAGTTTTTGAAAATATACTGAAAAACTCAGCCTATTGGGCCGACGTTTTTCGAAAAACCTTTAGGACAAAAACTTTAGCATATTTTGATATTTTTTTAAGTTGATACTTATCTTTTTTGTATTTACTGTCTACTTTTTGTCTTTTGTCAACTACTTCATCTTTCATTTAAATTTTACTATATAGTAAAATTTATTTTTCAGGCTGAAGTTATTTTTTTACTATATAAAAACTGTAGGTTTTACAAGGGCTGAAGTTCATTTCTTTTTGCATTACTACATACTTGTTTTTAACCACCTACTAATCTTGTCTCATTCAATTTCTCTCTGAACGTAAAACAGTAAAAAACAGCTGAAAAGTTACTTTTACATTTATAGATATTAAAATTGATTAGGTGAACTCTTGTCTATATTAACAATCTCTTCACTTGAAATTTCATAGTCATTCATAGACTTCTATCATATT